CTAATGCAAAACAAGCAGGCTGATTAGATAAAAACTGAGCTATAGAGGCCACCAGGGAGCAACCCCTCCTGGTGCCCCTACCTGCCATCTAACCTGCCTACCCAATTGGGACAGGTGGCGATCAAAAAAGCGCCCTAGAGATAAGAGATTACAGTACATGCCTGATCTGGCCAGGGAGATAAGCCTGCAGTGATCAAAAAAGCGCCATAGAGATAAGAGATTAAAGTACCTGCCTGATTAGGCCAATGAGATAAGAAAATGGCTGTTATCTACAGTTGATAACAGCCCTGCAGCCATATCTGCGCTTTCCTGCCTTATTAGGGAGGTAGATTCAAACTCAGACCCCAAATAAGCGAAGAACAGGGCCTGTTAGAGTAGTACCCTAACAACCTAACTATGATGCAACGCACGTTCGGAACGTATCCGGAGTTTGATGCATCAGAGTTACAACAGCAGCTGCAAGCTCACGACCCACGACACCCCCGAGTACAATGGCGTTGCGGAGCGCGCGAACCGCACCATCTTCGAGAAGGTCCGCGCGATGCTTCACGAGTCTGGGCTGCCTGATTTCCTGTGGGGCGAGGCCGTCCACCATGCCGTGTATCTCAAGAATCGCACCCCAACGGTTGCTCTCGACGGAAAGACTCCATACGAGGTCTTCTGGGGCAAGAAGCCGGATGTCTCGCACTTACGTCCGTGGGGCTGCCAGGTGCGCGTCCACGCGCCCGGAGGCTCGAAGCTCTCAAGCCGCGCGGTGATCGGTCGCTGGGTTGGCTTCGACACGGAGACGGACGCACACCGCATCTACTGGCCCGACCGGCGCAGTGTCACGGTCGAGCGCAGTGTGCGCTTCAACGTCGACGATGCAGACGTCGAGGTGCCGCTCGAGGGGGAGGATGAAGGAGTTAGTACTCACCAGGACGAGCAGCCCTCGCCGTCCGAGCCCTCCCCTCCTGTCGCATCTACCCCGCCACCCAGTCCACCCCCTGCGCCTAAGGCTGCGGCCGAGCCCGAGCCACCCGCAGCCGCTCCAGACGTGCTTGGTGAGCGTTTTGAGAGTGCGCCTGAGGGTCGCCCGAAGCGCGTTCGTCGCGAGTCCGAGTACGTGCGCCGGCTGAAGAGCGGGGAAGGGAGTGTGAGCGGCCGCGCTGGCGGTCCAGTGCTGCCGAGAGGGGTGCAGGAAGGGACTAAGACGCGTCAGGTGACGGTCGAGGAGGTCCCAGACGAAGAAGACATAGCGGCAGCGGTAGCGATGGTGGAAGAGGAGGACCTGGCGATGGCGGCGGTCATGGGCGAAGGCGAGTGCATCGAGCCGACCTACGCAGAGGCGAAGAGGCGCCCGGACTGGCCGAAATGGGAAGAGGCGATCAGATCGGAGATCGACAGCCTCGTGGCCAATGGTACCTGGACCCTGGTCGAGCGCCCGAAGACCGGCAACGTCATTGACTCCAAATGGGTCTTGCGCGTCAAGAAAAATGCGGCCGGCGAGATCGACAAGTACAAGGCTCGTCTCGTTGCTCGCGGCTTCACTCAAGTCTACGGCGTCGACTACTACGAGACCTTTGCTCCCGTCGCTAAGCTTGCCTCTTTTCGTCTCATTCTGGCAATCGCTGCGCGCAACGGCTGGCCTGCCGAAACCTTCAATTTCAACTCGGTGTACCTCAACTCGAAGCTCGACGAGGAGGTCTACCTCGAGCAGCCGCCCGACCACGAGTTCGCTGACAGGCGCAAGTATGTGCTCAAGCTTTTGAAGGCGCTTTACGGGTTGAAGCAGGGCGGGCGAAAACGGTACGAGACCCTTTCCACCGCACTCGCTGACCTTGGCTTTGCTCGTGCGGAGGCCGACTATGGCGTTTTCTTCAAGCGCGATGGCTCGCATCTTGTCATCCTGGCTATCCACGTCGACGCCTGCCTTATTACTGGCAGCTCTACCCGTCTCCTCGCCGAGTACAAGCGGCAGCTCGCTGCTAAGTACAAGCTCACCGATCTCGGTCCTGTATCCTGGCTCCTCGGCATCAAGGTCTCACGCGACCTCTCCGCACACACCCTGGCTCTCTCGCAACACGCCTACATTGAGGCAATCATCACGCGCTTCAACTTTGACGACCTGAAGCCGATCTCGACGCCGATGGATCCCTCTGTTCAACTCGCAAAGTCTCAGTGCCCCGAGTCGGCCGCTGACGTCGCTCGCATGCGCCGCGTGCCGTACAAAGAGGCGATTGGGTCTCTCATGTACGCGGCCATGGGCACGCGCCCCGATATCGCCTTCGCAGTATCCACGCTCGCGCAATTCTCGCAAAACCCCGGCTGGGTTCACTGGGAGGCCGTCAAGCGGGTCTTCCGTTACCTGCTCGGGACGAAGAACCTCTCGCTCATCTACGGTGGAGATCGCCGCGGACTCGAGGGTTACGTCGACGCGGACGGCGCGTCGCAGGAGCACAGGCGAGCCATCACCGGGTACGTCTTTCTAGTCGACGGCGGCGCTGTTTCGTGGTCGTCGAAGAAGCAAGAGCTTGTAACGCTCTCGACGGCCGAGTCCGAATACGTCGCGGCCACTCACGCCGCGAAGGAGGCCATCTGGCTCCGCCGCCTCATTGGTGAAGTCTTCCGCCCACTCTCTGAGCCGACCACCCTCCACAGCGACAGCCAATCGGCCATCGCGCTCACGGTCGACGGCTCGTATCACGCTCGCACGAAACATATCGACATCCGTTATCATTTCATTCGCTATTCTATCGACGCCGGCTCGATTCGACTCCTCTACTGCCCCACTGCCGACATGACCGCGGACGTCCTCATGAAGGCCCTCCCGAGCGTCAAGGTCAAGCACTTTGCGACTGCGCTCGGGCTCGCGTCGGCTTGAGGGGGTGTGAGCGTTCAAGCCGCCCGCGCGCCCTCCGCGCGGTGCCTGGCGCGAACGCGTGCCCGCCTCGCGCCTCCGATCTGCTTGCGTAGGTTACTGAACGGTCCCCGTAGGTTACAATTCCGCGCCTCGTTCCCCGCCCGTATCCGCTCGTATGATACTTACTTGATTCGTCGTTTATTTGCTCCGCGCCGTACTTATACGCGCATCGCGCGCCCGCTCACCTCAGTCCCACGTAACCCGCGTCTGACTGAGGTGAGCTCGCCCCGTTTACTTATGGTTCGCTTAGTGTTTACTCACCTACGTTCGCGTCCTTTAGATACCGCGCTCATAGGTATATCCAATCTATTATATTAGTCCCGCGTAACCCGCGTCTGACTGAGATACCGCGCTCATAAATCGGCCTGCTGATTACATCTATGTCTCGAAATCTCATATCTATGCGCATAAAGCGCCCGCTCAGCCACCGGACGTGCACTTGATTTTTCCCGCCCAGCATTGCCTGTCCCCACTAGCGGCCCTCGCTCTGCCGCCATTTTGTAGTTGAGACGTCCGCCGCACTGCTAGGTGGAGTGATGTCGAAGCCGCGCAGCCCGTGGTCATAGAGCTCAACACGTTGATCTTGTGCTTCTGGTGGCTCGTTACTGCTCTAGGACTCGAACGTCAGCTCGCTGTTCCACTCTGTGCCTGGCTGGGACTCACCTGGGCAACTCGACGACAACGCCTCCCCAGCAGGACACACCCGTCCCCCGCCGCCTCCGAGAACAGCCGCTCGCACTCCCGCATATGACATGGGCCGCGTCCGTGTGCTCGGGCATCCGCGTCGAGCCGGGAGCCCCGTCTCCACACCCCAGAATGCCCCCGGCCGCGTACGGGCTCTCCTGGCATCCGAGAGACGCACGGTGAGCGCTCTCACCTGTTGCATGCTCGTCTGCGGAAGCAGCTGCTGGCTGGGCGATCCGGGTGGTGCGTCGCATTAACGAGGGATGCGGGGGCGCAGACGAGGAAGCGTGTGACACGGCACGTGGACGAGGAAGGGACGAGGACGAGGAGGGGAACCAAATCAGGATATGGTGGCGGGTAAGGCGGCAGTATGTTCAGTTGGCGAGGGTGCAACCAGCTACGTCTATTAGACGTAGGCCCGGTTGCAACCGCTTCCCGAAACCTCGAACAATAATTAAATGCCCATGTGCAGCATTGAACTAGCGATCTCTGGAATGGAAGAGACACACTAATCCACTACACCATTAGGCCTTGTAACTTCTCCTTTGGCTTAGGCCTGTGTGCTACCTTAGGGTTCGGCTTAGGGTTAGGGATTAGGGTTAGGTAGCGCAATATATGGACTTCCTCCCTCCCCTGAGAGGAGCCGGTCTGTAGAAATTGCGAGAACGAGGCTTTAGTGTGCCCGCCTGAAGGCTCCCGGTTCGGGGGACCCCCCGAGCGCAGCGAGGGAGGGGAGGGAGCCTGAACGGCGGGTCCTCTTCACGCCAAAAGAGACCCAATATATTGCAATGGTTCTGCATACTTTACAAGCCTCTATGGTGTAGTGGTTCACGCCACTGCACTGTAGTCCCAAATGTTCTGAAGCGTGGTTCAATCCCCTTCAGTGGCATTAATTGTCTGATACGTGAAGATGTATTTTGTAGATAATGCCGGGCGAGCGGTTGCAACCGGGTCTACATCTAATAGACGTAGCTGGTTGCACCCTCGCCAACTGAAGTCCCTCAAGGCGGCACGACACAACGGTGTTGGCGTACTTACGCATGGAGAGTGACGCGGACCGCAGCCCCACGCAGATCGCCATATTTGCACACCGGGAAGCCCCCGAACATGTCCGTCTTCTGCGCGTCGTTTTCTGGCCGCTGGGGGACTGACAGTGAGCTCGCTTGCGAGCTGCATGCTCATCTGGGGAACGGGCTTACCTGGCCGACTGCTGGCGGGCAATCTGCCTCACAGAGCCGTGTGGACGATCTCCGCACAGCTGCCCGTCGAGCGGGGTACGTACTCACCTGGTCCCCAACGTACCGGTACAGCCGCTGACGAGTTCTTTCAGGACCCAACGGCAGCCACCATGACGCGACGTGGCTCGATCAGCTGGTCCTGACGGCGCACCGGCTGAGATCGAGCCGACGACCCGATGAGTACCCCGCCATCTCGTACGATGCGAAACCTGCTGACTGACCTCATTACAGTCTTGTAACACGGCGGCGTGGAGCCTTGACGGGACAGATGGGATGCGCGGGAGGGGTGCTATAGCACATGTATGGTAGTATAGCCGTAGACGCGGGGCTGGGCGTGCGGTACTGCCTCAGTCAGAGGACCTCGCGACGCGGCACCGTCCTGCACGCCGCGACTCTTCCCGCGTCGGCCGGTTCCGGTCACGTTGAAGCCCGCTGCGCACTCCTGCAAGGCAAGTGGTCAGCTACATTGCGGCGAAACGAACCAGCTCACGTACCTCATCTGCAGCCTGTCGCTGCGACTGCGGGTGGCCTCTGCGGTGTCGTACTCACAGCTGACCTCTAGAGCGGCGAGGATCGCGCTGTGCCCATCCTCAGTGTCCTGTGCACTCGCATGCGGCCTGCCTACGCACTCGGCTGGCGACACCGCGTCCTACGGCCCTGACGACGATCTGGTAAGTTCTTTAGCATCCCTGCAGCCAAAAGATAACTTACCCACGTGAACCGCGACCGTCTTGGCGATCTCCGTGCGCGTCGAGGCCGTCTGAGCACGGGGAGGCGAGCTAGGGCCACCAAGACATATCCGGTGAGTGAGTGCACAAATCTATGACTGAAACTCGCTTACCCACCTAATTCGAGGTCCCCCAGTTGATCCCCGAGGGCATTGGAGCCTTCGGAGCGCAGGGAGGCCGAGTGCCAGGTATGCGGGCGCTTACTCCGCTATCCGGTCGCCGGTGAGTGGGTGCACAAACCACTCGAGGTAGCAGGCACACTAGCCTAAATCTAGGTCGCCAGTCGATATCCAGACGAGTTGGAGCTACACGGGGGCTTCCAGGCGGCTGCCAGGTCCTCTGGCACCTGGACGTCGCAGAGGTAAGCCAAAAGATCCATTCCCGCAGAGAACCTCACTGACATACCTAATCTCGGGTCGTCCAGGCGATATCTACGCGATTTGGGGCGCTCTGAGCGCAGGGAGGGCGACCGCCGGGTGTGGGAGTGTCTGGACGTCGAGCAGGTGAGTCAGAGCTTCGCCTTTCGTAGATAACACGGCCAAAGTACCTCGTATCAGGTCGGCAGGACGATTGGCGGTGGAATCCCGGCCGTAGGGGTGGATAGAGGCCGGCTGGGACATGCAGGAGGCATGTCGGCGATCAGGCGCCCGTGCGACGGCGCTGCCTCGCGATCCCGCGTGCAACGCGCCCTGTAGACGTTGTAGAACGTTGTAGTAGTCGTCCTAATCCCATATGGCTTCGTTTGAACGAGATCGGCGTGTCCCGGGGCCGGCAGAGGCCGCGAGGAGCCCAACAGGGTGTCTTGACAAATCCCGAGCCCAGGACGCCGCCAGAGAGCCGAGGACGCGTGTGTGTGTCATAGACGAGTCCAGATACGTCTAGACACGACTGGTGGGTGCTTGAGGGGGTCGCAAGGCGTCCAGAGCGCAGCTGAGAGGGTGGGAGAGCAGCACCAGAGTGAGGTCACCCAGCAAGTTGCAGCCCGGGAGATGCGGCCTAGCATCCCATCGTCGCTCCTGCAGAGTCCAGACGTGTTCATACACGACTTGTGGGTGCTTGGGATGGTCGCCAGACGTCCAAAGCGTCGTCAAGAGGGCGGGAGAGCAACACCAGAGGGCGGCAGTGTGAGGTCAACAAGCAGGTTGCAGCCCGGGTCCTGCACCCTAGTATTCGCTCGACGAGTTCTCCTGAGCTCGTCTTCAATGTCCTTGGCATCGATTTGCAGCGTCGAAGGCGTCGGAGAATGTCAACAAGTCACTTCAAGTTTCAGGAAACTACTGCTGTAGCTGACAGTCCCAGAGCCCCAGTCGCCAGCACAGATGAGCGCGCCACAGCAAGCCGAGAACCAGACGAGCGCACCACCTCGCCTGCTGCGCTTCCGCTCATCTTTGTTAGCATTGCTGCTCCCTTGGCGACCGTGCGCTTCCTCCCGTGCGCTTCCTCTGCCGCCCTCCGCCCTCCGCTGCCTCTCCCTCGCCCTGTCCCGTCCCGCCGGTCCGGCCCTCTCCTGTCCTCGCAGCGAGAGGCTAGAGAAACAAATCGTAAGTATGGGTGGGCAGTACGTGCTGGTTAGCGCGGAGTGGGCTGGGTAGTGCGGCACGGCAGCGGGTGCTCGTTAGCCTGAGCGCGGCGCGCGCATACAGTCGCACGCCACATCGTCCTCGGCGCATACAAGAGGTCCGGTAGGAGATGTAGAATAGTCGTATTTCTACCAAATATACACCTCCTGCACGACATGACCGTGCCCGTACAGATTGCATACTCGTCCGCCGTTCGCCGTTGTAAGTGTCCCCACGCCGCTAAGCGCCCGTAACCCGGTGCACCACCTCCGAGTCCCGTCCCCGCGCGCCCGCGCCCTTGCACATCCCGCGGTGTTCCACTCGAGCTCGCTCGCCGGAGAACCGGCCGACGTCGCTGCACGCTGCACATTAGTGGCGTGCCAAACAGGATAGAACAGATGGGGACGTACTCTGTCCCCATCCTACGCTCGCGGGAGCGTCGCAGCAGCGCTAGCTTCGCCAGTTCGTGATAGAGCATGTCAGCGGTGAGCCGGTCATGGAAATGGCCGCCCTCGTAGGCTGGCCTTCGCAGTCGCAAACCGAGGCCAGACACGCTCAGCACCGCGCCCAACGTCGAGGCGAGCTGCCCAGCGCCGGGACCGTGCTCTCTTCGACACCGCGGCACACACCACCACGTCCGCGCAGGACACACGGGCTGCCCTCGATGTTCCCCAGCGAGAAGGCTGCCCTGGGCCGCGGCCGTACGAGGCTGCCCGTCTGCTGCTGCCGCGGAGAAACAAAATGCAACCCCATGCGGCGCCTGCACGGCTCGGCCGCCTACTGCAAAAGACACGGTGGTCGTCTCGGCATGCGTCAGCGCAGCAGTAGCAGCACAAAGGCCGGTGAAAAACACCGCTTTAGCCCGTACATGCGGCCCAGCCACGCCAGGAAGCCGGCGCGCGCGGCGGGACGTTCGGTCTAGCCTGCTGCGGCAGTGAGAGTGTCTGTGTTCCTCGGCTCACCTTCTTTTGCACCGCGCAGAAACACCGATGGCCCCACGCCCGTCTCGGAGTCTGACGACATCGAGGCGGCCTCGGAGCGTGCGGCGGAGGGCGGCCGCGACTGTGGCGGGTCAGGTTCAGGGATCTGGGAGCGGGTTGAGTGAGTGTGCAGTGTCGGGAGCCGTCGAGACCGGCATGCACGTCCTTGTACACGCACTGCGAATTATCTGCGGATAATTTGCGATTTCTTGCGCGATGTTGGCCGAGCTGTCCATGGCGCGGTGGTGGTGGACGGTCGAGAGCAAGGATTCGCGCGGCGGGCGCCTCGGATGACCATGCCTTCCCGTTTTGGGAGGTTGATCAGACATGGGCGGCTGAGGCCCGCTCCTTTGTCCCCCTCCCTCACCGGGCGCTCCGCCGCTCTGGCTGTACTGTACGCTCGACTAGATGCACGCTCGGCGACATATTTGGTATGCCTATACTATCACGATTACAATTCGGGCTTGTGCAGGGCGCGATATTGACCGCGTCGGACGGTAAGTTGTGGGTGGCGAGCTTGAACTTGATTACTGACGACCGAACGCATGCGTAGATGTTTCGAGACAGTGTCGAACTTTGCGCTTTGCGATTCGACTGCGGGTACACTGTTTTCCGTGGCCGATCTTCCGCCAGACAACACTCTGACATGCCGTTTCCAGGATCCCGCACGGGAGGCGCCGCGCACGTCCGGGCATGCAAGTCTCCCTGCTCGAAAACGTGGGAAATGGCTTGCCAGACTTGGAGTACGAGGGGATGGCAGCTCCGAGGCGCCCGCCGCCCGCTCATTCGTTCGGCAGCCAGCCGCGATATATAGGCCCAGGAGCTGTCGGATTGTGTTTCCCCCGCCCGTGACTTCCTTCGTTGCCCCCTCCCGCCCCGTTCGCGCCTGCCCCGCACCCGTTCTCGTGCTCTCACCCGCACGTCGACCGCCTTTCACCTGCGTACCGACTCGCCCTGCGGCTGCGACGGCCGCGTCTTCTTGGCGAGATGATGTCCTAGTACGAGGTACGTGAATGCGACGCACGTGGAGGCTCTTGGGCGTCCGGCGAGGCCCCGTACAGACGGCTGCGCTCGGCAGATCTCGACTTTGCGCAGTGTCGAGCTCGAGGGCGCGTCCCGCGAGGAGCCGCGCCGCCTCCGAGTCAGCGTCGCTGGGGCTGACGTGCGTGACGAACTCGCCTGAAGCTTCCTGTGAGTGGTGGAATGATGGCGTGTGCATACCGCTAGCGCACACGTAGACTGACATCTCACTGACAGTCGCTGTCGTGGGCTCCGGGGCGGCGGAGAGGTCTGGAGGAACGGATGTTACGGAAGGTGCCGCCATACTAGACGTAGTCGGAGACGGGAGAAGAGCGGTGGCAGGCGGGTTCAGGGAAGCCATGGCGCTCTCGATATCGGCATCCACGCTCTTCTGGACAAGCGGGCAGCACTGCGCAGACAGACTCGGCATGTGCGTATTCCGCGTCGTTCCCACCCCATGAGAATCTCTGATATTTTCTTGCAGGCTATCGCTGGCCCGCGTCTGGCTCTCTGCGGAAGCGGCAGGGCCCAAGCCTTGGACGAGATGACCACGCCCGAGTGCGGTAGGCCTCCCACCGAATATGGTTGGCATATCACCAGGTTCTCAATCACGCGGCCAACTTAATCACGAATGTTACGGTACGCCCTCTTCAATTTCGCTTTCCTCCCGAGCTGACACTGCGAACATGTCCAGCTCGCCTGCACAGTATGAGCCCTCACTGGCAAGCATTTGAGGGTCAGCCCCATTTGGTCTACTCATCGCTGCGCTCGCTCACGGACTTCAACACCCTCAATTTGGATCCTGCGCAATAGGAAGGACCAGGTCCCGCTCCCGGTCGCGACTGCGGCGCGTCGCCGGCCTGTTCGCGGTACGGCACAAGCTCACAGGTCGTCCTCCCCTGCCGGATGTCCCCGTGCCCGCGCACGAGGCTGCATGAGCTGCAAAACGGCGAAGTCGTAAATCGTTAGCTCCGGCGCTCTCGCACTAATTCGGCTCGCTACACAGGTCGAATGGGTAAAATTTCGACTCGGACGTCATCGGACAGAGGGACCATCCGCAGTGCATCGCGCCCGTTCAATCAACTCGGCCGCGCCATATCGTACGACGCACGGCCCGCAACGCTGGCCTTGGACGAGCAGGAGTGGGTGCGTCCATCCGCTCGTACTCTCTTGTTCACGCTGACGGGGCTCACACAGATCTACACGATTCGCCCGAGGGATGGCGGCCGCCGATCTATCTAGGGACCCGCAACCCGCATGTCTAGAACCGTGCATGAACACCTTGCTCGGGCTCCGAGGTGGCTGGCGCCCGCCAGCGTCATTGGGCACTTCCCCGCCCGGCGTCCATTGCGTACGTAAATCTCGTCTTTTAGCTCGGAATGCAGGGCACGAAGCACGCAGAGCGCCGGTCGGCGTCCTGAATCGCGAGGACTACGGGCGCGCACGGCACCCGAATCGGCAGTTCAGGAGCGGTCGGTGCGGCCTCGTGCAGAGAGAGGGCGCGGTTTGTCATCGGCGGCGGGCAGCGGGGCACGTTATGCGTGTCTCACGCGGCCCCATGCGGCGCCGTGGATTGCGCGCGGTACGCCGACTCGAAGACCGTGGCGGTGCATTTTGGAGACGACACGATGGCCCGTCTGCGCGCGAGGCTCGGGTGCGTGATTTCTGATTTTTGCCGCCTGAATGTGCACGAAGTGACCTCACACTCCAGGTTTTCCTCAGACCGGGATGAAACTCAAAGAGCATATGCGCGATGGCGCTGGGAGTATAGTGTTCTATTCCTGAAGCCGTGCGAGAGTGTGGCAGCGCGGGGGATCGCTATGTCTGGTGTGCACCTTCCCGGCAGGGTATCGGACGCCAAGCCGTTCGCATTTGCGTGATAACTGCGGGGATCACTTCATAATACTTACAGGACTGTATGTACCAAATTACAGCGCGCGAATCTGCGTAGAGGAGGCGCAATGCTCGATTCGTCGATTCAGGGCGATTTGTAAGGGTCCCCCCTTCGGAAACCGTCTGGTGCTGTTTTTTTTTTGCTCAGAACGAATTGAAACTCACTGTACATATACGCATAGACCATCATAAAGCGATGGTGCATTCTTAAAACGGCACGGCGACTGCCCGGTACACGAAGCTCGAGTGCGTGATTTTGTTACTTTGGCACCCAAAACCACGCGAACTGACCTCGGACTATCAGTTCTCCGCGGATTGGACTGAAACTTCCTGAGCCCATGAAATATGGTGCGAAGAGAGCGGTTGGGATGCGCGAACACATGGTAGGTCACTGCGTATAGTGTGCACGTTCCCGCACGATTATCTCACGTCGATTTGTCTTCAGGCTTGTGCGCATGATATGGGACGATTCACAACGCTTACAAGACTGCGCATACCGAATTTCAGCACGGGAGAACGCGTGGGCAAGGAGGAATCACTGTATCGCTGATTTCTCGAGATTTGTAAGGGTCCCCCCTTGGAAATCACCTCGTGAGAATTTATTTCGTTCAGATTGGGCCGAAACTCACTGTACATGCGTAGCATGGTGTAGAATGACCGGCGTTCAAGTAACGGCGCGCATCGGCACGGGGTTCGTGCGTGAGGACGATAACTGGTGGGCAACCGCCCCCATAAGAATGATCTCGTACGGGAACGGCGGCGCCCACACCATCCGTGCGCGTTCCGGGACGGTCGCAATCGACTATACCCGTCCATGGGCATGTATGTGGTGAAGGGCGGCGCGGGAGGACGCGATGCAGGCCCGCGGCAGACGTTTCGGTGAGTTTCGCCCTTCGAGCCCACAACACCGTGCGCAGTTGGGCACACATTTTGTTTCGCTCGGACTGAGCTGGAACTGGCAGGGAATGCGCGCCCTGGTGCAAGGAACGCGGCATTAGAATCTAGAAGTGCTGCGCCGCAGCGTGCGTGTGCAAGCTCGATATGTACAGACTTGTGGGATCCCAGCTTCAACCCATCCCTGCGAAATGGCAAAATTCAAACCTACCGTACGCGCTCGAGAATGGCACGAGGCTAATATAGATGTTAACAGACATCTGCGGCCGCGTGCACAAGGCGGTAGGACACGAGGGAAGATGGCGACGCACGATTCTGTGTGTTCGCCAGGCTTCCGCCCATGAAATGGCACAAAACACGCCGAGTCCCACGTGCTCATAATGGGCTGAAACTCGCTGAGCACATGCCGCTTGGTGCGTACGACTCCCCGTCGAAGTTTGGACGTCGCTCATGGCGCCATTGTTGCGCGAGCTCGACATCTTGATGACAGCTCGAGTGCACCCTGGTTGCGACGTAAGGGTCCCCCTTTGGGAGCACAAGGTGCGTATTCATTTTTGCTGTAACGTGTGCGAAACTAAGTGAACATTGACGCCTCGGTACATAGATCATGGTGTTGCATTTCCAGCGCGGCAAGGCGGGTCGTCGGTGTGCGATGTCCAATTCTCCCAGTGGGGCACAGCAGGGACCTCCTCAACATCGCGAACAGACCGAGCGCGTCACAGACGGTCCGTACACGCTCGCACGCGACGGGAGGCTGACACAACCATTCACAGGTGTATCCTTGCCAATTCGCACAGCGGAGGGACGCGAGGGAGGACGGCCATGCGTGATTCAGTGCATTCGCGGGGTCTCCGCCCATGAAATCGCGCGAAACATCCCGAAATAAACATTGCCGTACACCGCTGAAACTCGGCACGCGCACACACCCCGGTGCATAGGATACACCGCCCTGCTTATGGCGCGCCCCGGACAACGATCGAAGCGCGAGCTCGATGTCTTGTCGGGGCGCGCCCCCACCCCCACCGCACCGCGACGATCACCTGCCATGCCCAATGGCGACGCGCATCTTAACGACGCCTCGCCATCGCTGCGGCGTGTCTCGTCGTTTGTACGGCTCGACAGCGTCGTGTGCTGTGCTCCGCCGCCGTCTCGACCACGCCCTGATGCTCGGCCGCTGCATCGAGCACCTCCGCTGCGACACCGTCGGGCGTCGGGTCGTCGACTGGCACACGCACGTCGTGCGTAGTGGGGAACGCACGTCACCCGTCGCGAGGACGCGTCGGAGGAGATGCGGCGCGGAGGATCGCGCAGGAGGGCGGGAATTTGCGAGTTGGGAGTATGTATTTCTGCCGCCGGTGTCCATCCGCCCATGATATCGCGCGCGGAAACGAAAATATATTTGACCTGTACGGCTCTGGGGCTCGCGCGGCGTATGTACAATGGTGTGAGGCAGCGGCCGTGGCGGTCACGACGCCGTGCGGGGCTGCAGGAGAGGGCGGGGGCGAGGTCTTGCCGTGCGGCATCCCCGATGACTGACAACTCGACGACACCGTACGACATCGGAGGTTACCGTCAGCGCCGTCTTGTGCGGGCGGCCGGGGTACCAGCAGCGTGGTGCACGCGTCGACGGAGGTTGGAGACAGGGAACGCATGCCTCCGTCCTCGGTACAAGCTACAAATGTGCATCAGATCGGACACGACGGGCGGGAACTAGCACCTACCGTCGGAGTGTGCCCGCGACGAGGAGTCGCTCGCACTCGTAGCGGACACTGCCCCGCGTGTGCTCGACGTGCCCATGGAGAGGGACGTTGGCGATGAGGCGGCGACTTCGAGGTCGAGGAGGGCACACCGCGGTGTGGCCAGCGACGAGGCGGACCACTTGCGCTGACCGCCGCGACGTGCTCGGTGCGGGACGCGGAGCGCGCAGAAACCTGTTCCAAATGTGAATATCAGGGTTGCGAGTACGTGGGCACGACGGGGCGCTGGGTGTCGTCCGAGGGCAGCGCAGACGGCGGGGATGCGTGCACGACGCGAACCGAACAGGCGGAGCGCGCAGCGCACCGGACGAACACGACGAGGGAGCGGGAGTGGTCTCTCGGCGTCTGGGAGGCACATAAAGCCTGGGGGTGTGGACGGCGGAAAGCCATTCCCCACCTCTTCCTCCTTGTCCCCTCTTCGTTGTCCATTCCTCACCTCGCCCCTCTCGCCTGCCGTCTTGCGCTGTACGGTACGTCGGCCCCTGCTCTGACCTCTCTGCTTGCCCATGCTCTGACTGATCCTCCACAGCTTGCGTGCCGCGGTCGATGGCGGTCGTCGTGCTCGGCGTCGGTCGACGTGCGGACGACCATGACGGTGCGCCCCTCTCGTTTCCTCTGCGTATCCCGTCCCCTTCTCGCTGTCCCCTCGCTTCGTCCGTTTCTCCTACCGTCTTGCCCTGTGCGGTACGTACGTCGCCGTGTTTGACCTCTCTGCTTGCCCATGCTCTGACCGCTCCTCCACAGCTTGCGTGCCGCGTGTCGTGCCGCGGGCGATGGCGGTCGTCGCGCTCGGCGTCGGTCGACGTGCGGGCAACGATGACGGTGCGCCCCTCCCGTCTCGTCCGCGTATCTGCACTAGCCACACGTGTCAGCCTGCTATCTCTGCGCAGCTCGAGGTACTGAACTACTGACCTAGGGCGAAAGAGAGCAGCCGCGGGCGAGGTATAGGTAGATACGGCCGCCTTGTACTACTAGCATACCTGTAGACGACGTGCCCGTGCACGACGGCAGCGCGGCCATGGCTGCAGCGGCGGAATCTCGCGCCAGGCTGTGAGCAGTAATTAGCACATGCACAGTTCATCCTCATTCTCCCTCGCATCGTCTCCGCGCCGCGCACGCACGCGCGCGGCACTGGATGCGCGCATCCCGCAACTCCCTGGCAGCCAGCTCGCCCGAGACACCAAAGTCGCACATCTTCCCTGTGACTCTTCTGGTTCTTCCAGCCCCATACCTTGCGCATCCAGTAGGCCATATCGACCTTCTGCTGCATTATACTCACGATCCAAGGATGGTCCAGCATGCCCGCCGGTGCGGGTCGCAGAGCATGATCTCGCGTCAGGCTAGGGGTAGAAGAGTTCAGCGCACTGCGAAACGATGTATGCTTCGCCACTTACGCTTTCTTGATAAAGTCTTTCATCTCCGCGCTGTACTCGATATCTTCCTCATCCTCGAGCTCCGGGGGCTATCGTGGGAAAGGATAGACACGCGGGAGAAGGATATCAGCAAACGAAGCCCGGGGGTGGCAGAGAAGACTCAGCAGCGGGCGCACATACCTCGTTCTGCGTGATGTACATCATGAGCTCGATCGCAGCGAGATCGTTGGGGAAAGGGAACCGGTTCGTGACAAGTTCAAGGAGCGAAATGCCTGTGGACCACACGTCTGATCGAATCGTGTACTCGACCCCGGACAGGCGTTCCGGCTGGGTTCAGGATCGCGGAGAATGAGTGGCGCGTCTGTGGGACCAGGTACAAAGGCACCCACCGCCATGTACAGGCTCGTGCCCGTGAACGTCCCAGCCACGGAGTTGATCAGCTCGCCCGAGACACCAAAGTCGCACAGCTTCACGACGCCTTCCCGCGTAAGCAAGATGTTCAGCGGCTTGATGTCGCGGTGAATTGTCTTCCTCGAATGTAGGTACGCGAGACCTTGGAGGATCTGTTCGCACGCAGCCCGGTCAGCGATCGTTCAACAGCAGCAGCAACATCGGTGTCCCGTTCGACCGCCGTTATGACAGACAGGCGCGAGCAAACGGACCACCGACCAGGCAGGAACAAGCAAATAGATACGCACCCCCTCCGTGAGCCGCCCCACCACCTTCCCGCCGACCCTGCCGCCGATCTCGCGCATGCGCTTCCCAACCGATTTGAGCGAGCCGCCCTCGCAATAGTTGATGAGCACCTTGACCTCGCTGCTGCTGGGGCTAATATACGCCCCGTAGAAATGTATGATGTTGACGTGCTCCGTGCTCGACGTGATCTTGATCTCGCGCAGCAGCTGCTTCATCGGGGCCTCGAGCGTCGTGATCGTCTTGCGCGCCATGACCATCCCCGTCCGCCGGTCGCGCACCTTGTACACCGCCCCGCCTGCGCCCGAGCCGAGCCGGCTGAGCTCCTCGAGCAGGTCGTCGGACCACTGGTCGAACTCCTCGACCGTCTGCCGCAGGTTCTCCATCGACACCGCCGGCGGTGGCCGTGGCCGCGGCGATATCATCTGGTCGGGGCGGATCGTGGACTTGTTGGAGGCGTCGCCCGCTGCACGCGGCGCGGGAGAGGCGGCCTGCGGCTGCGGCCCACCTGCGTATATCTCAAACGTGCCATTATTGCTGCTGATGCTCTTGAAGTCGATCTTGGGCAGCATGGGTTTTCGCCTGGGCGACGAGCCAGGGATGGGCATGCTGGGTATGCTCAGGGTTGGTGTGGGTGAGCGGGAGAGCGGTGGGTTGGGTGTGGGAGGGGAGAGGAGAGTGGAGGAATTCGAGTTGGGAACGTTGAGCTCCCTGGAGGCCTTGTGGATGTTGAGGGGAGCGACTGCCTGGGCTGCGAAGGGTGCAGGGGAGATGGGGCGGTGGGAAGGGCGGGGCCCCGCTGGGCGTGCCGGGCTGGGATGGAGCGACTGCACGGTCATGGACGAGGAGGAAGGAGTCGCAACGGAGAGCGCGTAGACTCGACTATAGACGCCACAAGCACGTCGCCCACGTGGCCATCGCACATCCCGGGTCTCACATCGCCGCCCGCACGGTGCACAGAACGCGCGAACACTGCGCCCCACCGCATGTACAGAACGCGCCAACGCTCGCTCGCCCCCCACCGCCGGCCAGACACCCATCGCGCCTCGATCGACACCTGCGTGCAGCTGGCCGTCTCTCTCATTACCCCGCCAGAGCCAGAGCAGGCCCTCTCCCTCCTGAGTCCTCCTGCTGCACAAAATGGCATTGTTGTTCGCGACTGTCGGCCCCGCGCCCCATGGCGTGTACATGCTAGTCCTCGACGCTGTGCGCGGGCTCGCGGCGTGCAGTGATCTGCGCCCGCCTGGTACGTTTCCCGCTGGATGCCGGACAGGGAGGAGGGGGCGCAGGGAAGAGCGCATTCGGGGCAGCAGGCCCGGCAATCGTGCATCGCGCGAATTCGGGTCGATGGGGCTCTCGTATGCAGATAGATCTGCGTGCCTTGTGGGACAAGTGGGGAGTTTGCAGCGGGGCTCGCCCTCGTCTGCACGCGCTGAAGAGTCGAGTCGCGCACGCACCGCATGGGGTCGATGAGCAGCGCGGGACTCCACTGGCAGTGGCCGTTCTCAGCGACGGAGTCGCTGTACGGGCTCTGCGTGCACAGAAACGCGGTGCACGCGTCCACGATCCACACTCAGCGCTGTGCGCGCTCCTCGGCTCGATATGCACACCACACCGCACATCATCCTCCGGCTGTGTCGCAGTCCGGTACGGTCGTCCCTATTTCGCTCTCGGTTACAAGCCCCGGCCCAAATCCCAGACGCCGTCGTGCGAAGGGCGACGCGGGTCGCGACGTGGACGGTACACAACGCTGCCACCTCCGAGGCACACGGTGCCCGCGTCCCTGTGATGTGACACGAGGAAATGAAGACGGGGCACGCACTGTTGGATGTCCGCCAGCTCGGTTTGGGCGAGCTGTGCGACGGGCGAATGGGGATCTGTGTCGAGGGAAGGGGGCGCCTGCCTGCGACGTTGGGGACACGGTCGATGTGAATTGCACTTCGATGTTCAAAACCGCGTGCCAGGCCTCGAGTGCAGCGACACGGAGGACGCGGTACACGGTCCGCAACGCTCCCATTGCCATATCGCGCGCGTGTGGACGACTAGAGCGAGAGCGGCGGCCCGCGATTGCTACGACACAGGGTCGATCTGCCATACGAATCGCGCGGTACGAGGCGCAGCAGCGTACACAAGCCCCAGTACAGGAACGGGGTCGCGGGCGTACGGCAGCGGCCGCTGGCGAGCGTGTGGGCGCATAGCCTGGACGACGGGCATGTCGCATACACGGAAACGGGATGACACGAACTTGAGCGTCGTTGCGGGCTCGTCGAGCCTGCCCGGAAGGTGTGAGGTATAAGAGGGGCCGGGGAGAGTGGGATGACTGTACCCTCATCCCTTCACCGCTATCCTCTGTCTTCCTCTCTTGCTCGGATTGGCGCGACCGTCCTGATGACTGACAGCGTATGAGTCGCATCCCTGCTCGTGCTGGTGGTATGAGAGTACGTCGACCGGTACTCGTTGATGGCCGTTTAGACGAGGGCGAGGTACGTATGTATTCGCATTCACTAGCTATGACCGGCACTGATGTTTAGTATTAGCAGATCTCCGCAGCGAAGGAATGGCATACGATACGGGTGGGCAATGCATGCATTAGTGTATAGTTGCGAGCAGGGCTTCCATGCGGTAGCAAGGGCTGTCGTTGAAGTAGCATCGTAACGAGCCCATGTATCCTACTGTATAGTCTGTGAGCAATAGAGGATGAGCCGTAGCTCGAATACAAGCGTACCTGCGTACCTGATGTGTGATATGAGGCCGATACGTGCTTTGCACGTGTTTTTACCCTCCGCCGGGCTCCCAACAGCGGCCGAGGCCAGGTGTGGTTGGCAAGAGGCAGCGCCGCGCGAGGAGCGCACGAGGGCGGTTATAAGCGAGAGTCCCTGGGCGGAGGGCATGCCGCTGCGAGGCATTGTTCTGGCGCAAGCGGAGCAGGTGCTAGGACAGGGTCAAGTGGGCTTCTGAGTCGGACTAGATCTGCCAGGGATGTGCGGATGGTCTGCGTACAACATGTAGAGTGCCAGTGCGTCCGCGTACACTCGAAAGCAGTGTTGAAGTGCACCGTCTGTACAGACAACGCGCGTGTTGGCCGCGACTGGATCGAGCGGAGGGCTGAGAGGATGGCGAAGAGACAGCAAAGAGATGAGACGTCGACATCAGCCCTCGTCTTGCTGGTGGAAAGAGAGAGCAAGCAAGCAGAGCCCGAGAAGAACGGAGAAAGTCAGATGATGCACCGCGCGTCACACGTGACTCCACGCGCAGGATAGCCTGGCGCCCAGCGCTGTCTCTCTCATAGCTACCCCGCCAAAGCCAGAGCCAGAGCGGGCCCTGTGCTCTGCCTGCGCGGCTGGCAGGTAAGCCTGCGTTCCTTCGACTGCACGCTCGTGTTCTGAACTGCGCGCGCTTCAGGCTCTGTCCACCCGGTATGCGGACTCCCAGGAGACTCGTTAGGGACGGCATGTACGTGCTCGTACCTCGCACACTGCTCCAGGTGACACACAGCGGCCCTCGGTCGTTCAGTCTGCTGCTAGGAGATTCCATCTACATCCTTGGCGATTCCATGGCCGTTGCTGGGCTCGTTTTTGCTCTCTGCCTTGCCCATCTCGCTCGCCCTTCGACAGGGACTCAATCTGGGGACTCTTGGCCATCTGCGAGCATCCCAACGCCGTCTTGCGCACTGCGGACCGCTCAGCTACTGGGCGAACACCTGGACGACATCCAGAGACTCTTATCCCAACATGCAAGACCGCCGTACACCCGGGAACGTTGCGATATCGCTCGAGGTGACTCCCTTTGAAAGAGACTCTCCTCAACGGCGCTCATGCACGATTCTAGGTCTGTCTCGCGCTCTGTGCACCTAGAGCACCTGAAGACCGCTTTTTCGACTCCCAGCGACCTTCATCGTCCACAAGACGACGTCTGGGACGTCCCTGCAGCCCTCGCTGGCCCGGTGATGCTCCTCGGCTCTCACCTCGTCCCTCACCACCCCCACACCACCCAGGCTACTCACCCTCGCCCTGTACGACGCCTTGTACGTTTCAAGCTCGCTATAGACACCCTCAAAGCGCGGGAAATCGCGCCATCTCCCCGCCGACTTCCTCACCCCCATAGGCGCCCAACCGCCGCCGTCTTGGACAGCTCTTCCACGGGTGCGTCTGCGGCCGAGCCACTAATATAACATGCGATGCTGACCTCCATGGAAGTCCAGAAACGCGGTCTTCAGGCCCGGACACGCATGCCCGTCGCACGGGACGCGGTGATGTGGCCCCGGGAAGCCCAACGGACTTACTGAACCTCTGCGAAATCGCCACAGATCGAGAGAGGGCGGCTGGCTCTCTCAAGACGCGAAGGAATTGTGTCGATTGATGCAGCGGTTCGCAAACGCGCATCGTTCTACTACGCCTGTCTACTATGTACGACTACGGTACGTCTCTGCCGCCCTCCTGCTCTCTCCCAGCTCAAACCCATCCTCGTACACGCCGTCAAGACTGGCCGGGGCTTCGTCAACCTCGCGGTGTGAGCCTGTCAATCCCGTGAGTCAGCAGGGCACTCTCGACGCGAGACGACTGACACTCACTGTGCTTGTGCACCTCCACAGGCGTCTAGATGTGGTATGCAGCTGCCTGGAAGCACGGACTCGTCAGCGGTGGCCCGTACCCGACGAGGACCAAATCAGCGCATACCTCGCGCCGAGCATCGCATCCTCTGCGATCCTGACCGTTTCGCATTTGCAGGGTTTCGTTAGACGTGCACGAGCGGCGTGTGCGCGGATTCACCTTCGCCACAGGCGTCGCGACGCCGCACGCGGCCGGCTGCAAGTGCGAACCTGTCAGCAGGAGCCCATACGCGGGAGGATGACATGGGTGCGGGTTAGAGGCATCTCCGCGCGGTATCCGACGCACTGCGCATGCAAAAGCAACAGTGGCGGGATCTACATGACGCGGACTGTCCCGGTACATACCTCGCTTTGAAAACTGCGTCCTTGCACATCCTCATGGCCCTGTAGATGTACGAGCTTGTTAGCGGTGCACAGGAATGGCATTACGCAGGCTTACAGACCACCCCACCTTAATAAAGACCTCCCCTTGACGCAGAGTTTAAAGATCTTGTTGCGGCGCGAAACGCAGAGCGCGTGTGCAGAGACCTGAGAGAGAGTGGCAGAGCAAAGCAGAGAGTACAACAGAGAGAGCAGGAACGAGGACGAGGACCGGCAGCTGCCCGGTCTTCTCGGCCTCAATACCGGGCCGAGCACGTGGCTGTGCTCTGTCGGCATTTGCCGAGGTCCATGCTGGCATGCCACCTCAGCATCTTGTCGTCGCCCTTGTTTCTGCTCCACTACACATCCACAGCTCACAATTCGGTAGGTTTTCTGCTTTACAATGATTCCCTCATCATTGAAGTGCTTTTACAGGCATGATGGCCGATTTACAGGATAAACAGACCATCTATCAATATCCTGAGTTCCAGCAGTTCGTCGATGCTATCCTAGCAAATCAACCTTGGAGAAAAGACGATAACGAGGACGAGCTGATGCAGTGGCTGCTGGGCATGAAGATGACAATAGTAAGCCAGCTGATCTTGTTGATCTGTTGTTTGCTAACTACTGTGGTAGTACTCGGGCACCCATGTGTGCGATGCCGACTGTGTTTGCGACACACAGTTCAACATGTTCTTTCAACACATGGAGGACATATCCATGTTAGACGGCATCGCAGGGAAGTTCATCCTCGAATACACCATGGTCACCCGTCAGCGCAAGATTGTCGCCTTCAAGAATGCTGTCGCCCACTGCAAGGTGGCGCTCAAAGTCGAAACAGACCGCACCATAGCATCCTTCAACATTGGGATGGGTGAAAGGGATAACGCACTGGTGAACTGCATTGCCGCCCACAAACACAGTGTCCAGGATGTGGCTGCAGCTGGTATCAAGCTCGGGAGAGCTGAGCAGTCGCTGCGCGATGCAGAGAGCGAATGTGAGTGCCTGCTAT